TTTCTTGACAATATGTTGAGTGGCAAGAATACAAAAACCTTTATAAAATGTGTCCCAAGTCACACACGAGCCAAACAGTAGATGCTTCAATGAAGTAGTTCAACAGACCCCAGATGAATTTTCATTTGACTTCACTGAGATTACATTTTATGGACTCAAATTCAGTCAATAGGGATTTGAGCTTGTGATTTTTTTTTTTCAAGTAGTTTTAAATCAACCTTTGTAAACCTGTGAGTTTGTATGAGTCTGAAGAATAAGCCGTTCCGATATAAAAATCTTTTTGGAATTACATGAGCTATGAGGTTAAAAAAACAAAGAAAGCTCTAACACTGTGTGGCATTGAGGCCTTATCTGAAAAAGCTAATCAGATTCAACTGTAAGCACAAGGTCAAGTTCATATTTGTTATTTCAGCGTCACAGTGTGGGAAGTTTGAGTGCTGAGTTTTACTTTACACAGTTTGAATATGTAAACAGATGTTCACTTAAGCACTTCTCTTCTTCTCTGTATCTTTGTGTGACCTCACCACTGAATTCATTTATTCATAAGCTACAGTCACACAATGTGTTTTCTAAATAAATAAGGGGATCATCTACCATGTAGCATAAAAATGTATCTCTGCTACCAAACAAACTTGAATCTCCATTGTTATGCAAGATTACAAAAGTTGATTTACAACTACAAACATTTTATAGATTATTTAAGAACAAAATCCTATTGTCCCTCATTTAAGCATATTAACATTGGTTGTCCTGAGTAACATGAATTGTGATGCTGGATATCAGTAGGAGTTTTGTTAGCAAGTTGCTCTTTTGTAAAGTGATGAACAAACCATTTTGAATATGTGATGTAGATTTAAAAAGTAAAAGTAGTGTAAAAGACTGATCTGCCACCAAATAGAGAGGAGATGCATAGTTTGATGAGGTCAATCCAAAAAAAAGGTTCATTTAAAATCACATCAAATTTTTTAAAATGTGTTTGGACCATTTTTAAAACCATCTGTTGGTTTAGTTCTTATTTCTAATTATTGTCACAGAGTCTCTATGTCGTATTGAGCTGCAG